AAAGCTCACACTGATTAGATTTCTAAAATTATTTTACCCTTCCCAGTGCTTTGCACAGAACAGGTGCTAAGTAAAAATTACTTGGTTGTTTAATAGATGTCATCAAATTCTTAACTTTCCCCAAGCTGAATGTTTATAACCAGGTAGGCAGGTCAGAGTTAGTATCTTTTTACAGAGAGAGAAAATACCCAAATTAAATATAGTGATGTTACCATAAAAAAATCAATATTTTAGACTTCAAATAAAAAGGAGTGTTTGACATTTGTGGGTTTTCTTTAACAGGGACACAGTTGCTCAGGCAGGCTTGGCTGTATATTTGCAGGGATCTCAGTTTATAGACACATCCCAGGCCCCACCAAAGCATTTGGCTTGATGATGTCTTGAGTGTACAAGAGAAAAAAAGATGAAGAGGTCAAGTTTGTTTGTAATAAAAAAACAAACAAACCAGAAATAAGGACAAGTCAATGAAAAAGGAGAATTTAAAATAAAGAGGGGGCTTGATAAAGCAGAACTAGATAAATCTTTCTAAAGGTCTGGGAAAATCCAGGGCCTCATTGTAGAAAGAAACTGCTTACTGATGTGGAACCAAGCAAGTAGAAGCATATGGAATAAATTTTCAAGCAAGAACCCCAAATCAAATAATACAAATGAGTCCAAGAAACAGCAGTGCATTTTAACAAAGAAAGTTGAGATCACAAAATACAGGGATAAAGCCAATAAAAGGAGCTGAGATAACCCAGAAGAGCAGCTCTTGGGTCAAACCGTCCATTTGTGACTAGGTATTTCTTTCTTTTTATCATAGCTTACTGTAGTTTGAAGGTGCCTTCAAACGTATAAATGAGTCCCTTGGGCTTTCGTAAGCAAGCTCTTTTTGTTACCAGAAGCTTCAATTAGGATGAAGAATGTTTCACTCATGTAGCCCTGCAGTCCTCTCATACTGTAAGGATGGTTCCTGCAATGAAGTGGTAAGTAGAGCAGGCCCATGTGCAGCTACGTCTTCTGGTACCTCATTCAGAAAGTCAGACAGCTAGGCAGGACTGTGTCCAAGCAGTAAGGATATGTGGAAGTCCCCTAAGATTCTGACCATGGTGACAATACAGCCAAATGAATAGTATGAAAGAAAGGAGCAATTTAAGATTTATCATCTACCCCCAAAGGCATTGCATTCATAGCACTCTGCCCAATTACATATTTGTTACTTAAATAAAAGGCTGTTGTTCCCATTGTTTGCCCTCAAGTTGTTAGTCAGCTGGTGACCCCGTAATCTGCACAGCTGCGGCATCCCAATGTGTTGTCATGAAACAGATTGTGATGTCTTAATTGATCACTTTTAGGGGTTACAACTGTCAAGTGAAACCAGTATGCTGATTCTTATTAGTTAAATTAAGTCTTGTTACAGTAGAGCCAGCTAATTCTCTCTTGTGGCTGGGAAATCCAATGCAAATTGCTGCATTTGCAGATTAGAACACATCAAAGGCATTTTCTTTATATCTTTCTTTTTCCCTTTTAATTTTTAAAAACTTTGTGGAGTCCATAGCTCCCCCCACCCCCAACAAATGCTTTCATTATACAGTGAAGCAAATTCTTGGAACAATAAATTGAATGTAACTTACCCGCACCATATGCATCTTGGTGATGAGTTTGAGCGTGCCATATGACACACACAATTTAAATCAGGCATTGATTTGCATGATTCTGGATGAGTTCGGAGGACTCAGCTAAGTGTAATGGATGTCGGGCCCTACTACAAATCGCCTGACAGAAAGAATATTGTGTACTTCCTTATCACCCAAAAGATTGTAGGCTTCTAAATGCTTGAGGAAGGGTCTTGGATCAATGCTTGATACCAAGAGACACCTTCTTGTGCTTCCATTTGGTCATTAATAAAGTTTCCACTATGACACCAACCTTCAGAACCCCATTCTCAAGTGTTCTAATGTACTTACCCACCTGGAGTAGACCTCTTCTCATCCGGTGCCTGGACCACTCGACGCCCACCTTAGTTCAGAAGTCTTACGTAGCAGGAGTGATGGACAGTCCCTTTGACAGTAGTTTTAACGTACCTGCTAATGGACCTTTGTGGGCTCTGCAAGTCAGGTTTTTTCAAAATTCTTGATTTTGACACCTCCAATGGATGCTTTTCTTTAGCATATTTATAGGTGTACATTGAAAACTAAATCAAAGAAGTAACGTGAAATCAATTTATAACTGCTAGCATTCAAAATACAATGGGAAGCACAACTATGTTCATCAAAGCAGTTTTTTATGATGGAAAAATCCAATAATAACTAAATGCCCAACAGTAGGCAAACAGGTACATTAATGGTATACCCGCATAATGGAACATTGAGAAGGCATTAAAAATATCTCTAAGAACTATTTATTGACACAGAAAAGCTTAAGGTATGAAATCAAATGAAAAACCAAGGTTGCCAAATGTACAAATGGTATTTCTCAGCCTTTCTAAAATATATATAGAAGGAGGAAAATACAACAAAATATTGTAGCAATTGTTGAGTGGTAGAAATAATGAAGATTTTTCATTCTTTTATCCAGTTTTTCATTTTTCAAGTTTTCCATAGCAGGCCCATATTACTTTAATAGTTAGGGAAAAATTTTAAAGCAGTTTGAGTAGTTTCATTATTACCTTTGCTATAGAAGTCTGTGTTGAAGGCAACTCAAATCTAACAGGTCTGTGAATGAACTCTTCCCTTCCTCCCTGGTTCTGCTCCTCCTGAAGCCTTTGCTTTCTGAGCTAAAGGCAGCTCCAGACTTCCAGTTGCTTGACTAAAAATTGGAAGTTATCCTTAATCATCTTTCTCTCATATCCTACATGCCATCTATTGGTCAACCTAGTTGGCTCTACGTTCAGACTATTTCCAGAATGTGAGTGCTTCTTGCCACCTCCCTGCTACCCAACCTGTTCCAAGCCACTGTCTTATCTTGCCTTGATTGTGGCAGTAGCCTGCTCTCTCATTTTCTACTCTTGCCTTCTTTGTGCCAGTTTTCCACACAGCAGCCAAAGTTGTTAAGATATAACTCAAATCAGTCACTCCTTTGCTCAGAACCCTCCAATGGCTCCTCAGTTAAAAACCCTATGTGATGTCTCCCCTGTCATCTCTCTGGCTCCAGTATACTATGGCTCTCTTCTATGCTCTGCCAGACTGCAATGCTCTCCTGATTGTTCCACTCCTAATGTGAGGAGTTGGCAGTGACTTTAGCTCTCACTTTGCAGAAATACCTTCTCCCAAAAAATGTCCCTATAGTCAGCCCTCTTCATTCAGGTCTTTCTTCAAATATCATTTTTCTCCTGAGGCCTTTACTGATCACTCTACCAACACACACACACACACACACACACACACACACACACACACACACACACACACACCCCTAAACCCCTTTTTTGCTTGAAATTTCTGTACTTGGCACTTATCACCGTCTAACATATACCATGTGGATTTGCTTATTGCCTATCTCCCCCTAGATGAATGCAAATTCTATGAGGGGAGGGATATTTATTTAAAAATTTCACAGTGGAATCCCCAACCCTAGAGCAGCGTCTGGCACATAGTAGTTGCTCAATAACTATGTTGGGTCACTACCATTCACAGAAAGATGGTCTGTTGCAGTTGTGTGAGAATTATCCTGGTGACTTTTTTGAGACCTTTGCCTATCAAATTACCCTCCGAGACCGGGCCTGTTGGTATGCTGGTGTGTTTCTTCTAGGCTGATTTTCTATTTTCATCTAAATTAACAATTCTAGATGAATTGGAAAAGTTCTTTTCTTCCCTAATATTAACTTTAGTGTTCAGACTCCTAATAAATTATTTTAATTTAATTGCTTTCATTATCTAACTTAACTACTACGTATTGAATTTTCCAGGGACTGCTGGAGAGTGATGTAAAAATGAAGACAAACTTCTACTCTTATAGACTTCACTGTCTAGTGTACAGACATAATTAAACAATTACATCTGAGTGTGAGAGGGGCCACTGAGCAATACTCACAATAAAAATCCAGGAACAAACGTCAGATACAAAATATGGAATCTCATAGAAGGTAGAGGAGAAAGATGTGTATCAACAAAGTACACTGCTCTGTTATCACTGCTCTAAAAAACAGGGTGCCTTTTCTTCATGTGGAAAGGCCTCAGCAAAAGGGATTTACTTAGCTTTGAAGGAAATAATCAAAGAATAATGGGAAAGGCTGTGGGTTCAGAGTAAGAAGATCTAGATTTGCGTCTACCACAGCAACTTATATCTATCTGCAAGTCCTAAAAGCTGGTGCTTAACCTCTCAGTCTTTGTTACCTCACTGGTTTAAAAAAAGGGAGGCTGGTGGTTAGGGGAGCTCTAGAAACTATCTCTGCACATGCCTTCTCTGAGTTCATAAAAGAAGCCTTTCCTTATCCATCTAGAATAAACAGAAACACAAAGGACAGACAACTTGGGGGATGCAAAAAAAGTTTTTAAGGGCCTTTCTGCAATATTTTTGCTAGGCTGAGACTTGTCTTAGGTGATTCTGGGTTGCTGAATTTTTCATATTTTCATCAACTGCTACACAATCATTCAGGCATGTAAGTAAAATATAGAATTGATACCTGGATATATTCCTTTTGCCTTCTTTTTGGTCATCATCCCTGTTAAGGAGATCAAATCTTTTCCTTTTTCCTTATTTCATTTGGAATTATGTTTTTGAATGAAGAGTCATCATTTGGAGTGGGAAACAAATGACTGTTTTTCCATTTAACTTTAAACCAATACAAGGGCATAGAAATTAAAATTATTCTTTAACAATCTGTATTCACCTTTTAAATGTAAGCATGCCCCTAGTTTGATAACCTGTGACAGTCATTATAGGGCTTGCATATACATTTCAGAGATATTCCTACATGTAGCACTTGTATGTAACATCTGAAATTTCTGTTTCCCCACAAAAACTAGTTTGAATAGTTGGACCTTACTAATTTACATTTCGTGTCTCTTTCTGTTTTTCAGCCTTTGCAACTGGACTGTGACCTTTGTGCCATAGTGTCAAACTCAGGTCAGATGGTTGGCCAGAAGGCAGGGAATGAGATAGACCAGTCCTCCTGCATTTGGAGAATGAACAATGCCCCGACCAAGGGCTACGAAGAAGATGTTGGGCGCATGACAATGATTCGAGTTGTATCCCATACCAGCGTTCCTCTTTTGCTAAAAAACCCTGATTATTTTTTCAAGGAGGCGAACACTACTATTTATGTTATTTGGGGTCCTTTCCGCAATATGAGGAAAGATGGCAATGGCATCGTTTACAACATGTTGAAAAAGACTGTTGACATCTATCCAAGCGCCCAAATTTATGTCACCACAGAGAAGCGCATGAGTTACTGTGATGGAGTTTTTAAGAAGGAAACTGGGAAAGACAGGTGAGTCCCCTGAGAAGCAGCCTTATTGTCCTTTATGCTAGATCTTTGCTGAGTCCTTTTGTCAGCTATCAAATGAACAGAGTTATTTTTCAAACTGACTTCTATGTGTTTTTGACTATTACAATGACTTGATGAGCCAGCAACTAGGTCCCATTTATTCCACCTACACTACCTTCTGTTCTCTCCATTTTGATTGGCTTGTGGCTCTAAAAAAGCACTGGATGTTTTCCCAGGATATCTTTAGCTTTGTTCTTATTTAGCTCAATTTGCTATTGATTAAATTGGATTTTAGCCAAAAGTTCCCTAACATTCCTGTTTTGAAATGTTAGGGAACTATAGGACCTAAACTCCCTTCTTAAGTGATGGCAAAAATTTACCTGAGACCACAAAACAAACAGGCTATTGATGCACTAAAAAGATTGTGTAGCTTCATGCATGCATTTAAACTGTATGATTATGAACACCATAACTTGGTATCTAACATGTTAATCATATTGCAATTATGCATTACTTAAAATCATTAACTGTGGATTCTTGAAGAGAAATGAGGTATAAATACTATTTACTCAATTATTCAAAAATCTATTTGCATTTTTCACTGCATCCATTTCCTGCAGCATTCTATCAACCACCTTTCCCACTTTCTTTTCTCAAGGCCTGCTTGCCTCATTTTTTTCTTCATTTCTTCCTTCCGTTTTCCCTCTCTGTTTCCTCTTCATTCCTATCATCTCCCACATAACTCTATTGCCTGCCATTTTTTCTTTCCCTTTAGAAAGGTAATGAGTATATGGGAGAGAAGTGGAATTATAAGTCAATAGCTCTTAGTTCATATATCTAGTTCTAATAAACAACTGTTGAAGGAAAATATTGAATGTAATTGCTGAAGTTTTAAATTAGCTGTGAATTTTGCTAATTCATGTAATACCATGGATAAATCAAACATGGATTACAATTCCAATATCAACATTCTGATTCCTCAAAATATGTACCTTTTGCTCTTCGATATTGCCAAATGTGAATTTTTACCTATATTGGGGTATGTGCTTGTGGGGGTGGTTTCTAGTGTCTCTGGGTATAATTTCAATGCTGATAATTATTTTAAAATCTTATCTCTAATTTCAATGCTGATAATTATTTTAAAACCTACAATGTAGGCTTGATTTAGTGTTTTCTACTTCTAAGCACCAAAACTGCACAGCTTCTAATGAAATGCAAGACAAATATAGCCATAATACTGTCTCCTTTTGCTGTTAGAGTTAACAAGAACAATCCCAATGGTTAGGTTTGAATCAGTGTAGCATCAGCTGTCCACAGGGACAGGCAGTAGAGATGAAAAGAGAAGTCATAGGCTTCAAAGAAGTAATGTAGCACCATTCTAAATAAATATGACCATTCTCAAGGGGTTTTGGAAATACTTGGTCTTTCACTAGCCCTGAGCAATGCAATTAATTAGGTATATTTGTTTTTTTAATTAGTCACAATTAGCACTCGGGTATACCCCAGTTGCAACTGTAAGCCCTGGAACCATTTTGGGGTATGAGAGAAGAAGTTAGCATATCATATGTTTCTATGTGTTTATATCACATTGGCTTTTGTCATGAGCTTTCAGTGAGATAGCAATGTCAGAGGTGTGTGGATTGTACAAGAACTAAGAGAGAATAGCTTTGGGACATGCATTTCTCTGCTGGCTGTGATGAAGAGAACTATTTGTATAATGGGAGAAAACTCAGCATGTAAAATTGACTTGCAGGTATCAATCAATTGGTAGAGTTACCAAAATAAATGTAGAGTATAAAAAGTCAAAAATTTTCTGATGCTGTTTTGCTGTTTTCTTCATTGAGTTTAATTCTGTCTTGTTGCTTGAGCACTACAACCAGATTGAAGATGATAACTATGCTAGTGTTTTAGAAATGAGCAGAATACATGGTTTTGGTAAAATCTGGTTTACAAAGATCAACCAAAATGTCCTCAAAAGTTGCTCTCACAACTATGATTTAAATCTGTATCCTAACTTTAGTTATGCAGATTTTATTGTCTAAGGATTTCTTATAGTGACCTGATATTCATTGCCAAATTTTGAACAAAAATATTTTTTAACCTTTTTATGGAAAGAAATGTCAAACTCATAAAATAGAGAGACGAATGGTGTAATGAACCTCTGTATACCCACTGCTCAGATTGAATAACTATTAACTGATAGCCAACCTTGTTTCATCTATACTGGTACCCACTTTTTCCCTTTCCAAAGACTATTTTGAAGAAAATACCAGATATCATATTATTCTGTATATAAATATTTCAGCATGTATCACAATGCCATTGGTCCTACATAAGAATCAGCAGTACTGCCTAAATAACATTATATATTTAATCTGAAAATTTCTCCAAAGGTCTCATTAATATTTTTGACTGTTAATTTGAACCAGGATTAGCATTAAAGTCTATACATCGTTCAAATCAGGACTAGCATAAAGTCTGTAGCTTGCAATTAATTGATAGATCACCTATATTTCTCTTAATCTAGAGCTTCTCTGTTTCTTGCTCTATTATTTAAAAAAATCATTTGTTCTACAGAGATTTCTTCACTCTAGAGGTCACTGATTATACCCCATGATATTTCTTTTATGTTTGATATTTTTATATTCAAGCTTTCTTACTAGGTTCAGGGTGTTTTTCCCCTCCAAGACCATTGACCATTGAATGATACTTCTGTTAGGAGGAATACTGTCTAGTCTTCTCTTTTTATGTAAGCTGTCATTAATGATCTTGTCTAGGTCCAGTAAGTCGTTGGAGGTTGCATAACAGTGATATTTCATCATTTTTTTCATTTATGTGCTGATATACTTTATAAAGAAAAACTTGTCCTCATTAACCATTTGGTTTCTGTGAGATAATACCAATCCTTTTTAGCTTTAAGACGTCAGTTCCTTGGCATCATTTAATAGTGACCAGTAAGTTTTTTATTATTAATATTTACATTTGACTTATATACTTAAACATATTTGATATATTTCAATTCACTAAAATTATGCTCTTTTATTCAAGTTATCCTATTTTGGGCTGTGGGAACCTCTTCAAACTGGATTTTGAGTCCCTTTGAAATGTTTTTAGTAGTCTTGAATAACTTCTGTGCTTCCTGGTATTATAGGATAGTTCCTGCTCTTCTTGTACACGTCATGATACAAACCTGGACTGAGACACGTCTCCTTTTCATGTTTAAGAGGGCATAATCTTGGTGCGACAGGTGCTTCTTGATACTGGCTTGCTCTTTGTTTCTTGGCCATTTCATTGGACAGAGCTGATATATAAACATGTTATATATACTATTTAAAGATAAAATCATTCTGAGCTCAAACTGAAACTTCCAATTCAAATTCAGAGCTGCCAGGTTTTTATTTTACCTGATCTATCTGACAGCTGTTTATTTTTTTCTGCCATGTTGACAATCATGGGTCCTCAAGACACCAATGTAAATTACTCATCTGCTTTATCCCACAACACACATACAACAATCTTAGAGTGAGAATACCAGCACAATCAGCAATGTGATTATTGTAAGCATTTCCAGATTATTTTGCCTCAAAGAAAACATTTTCTTAAAGCTTCTTTTTAAAAAGAATTTATTTATTTATTTTTAGAGAGAGAAGGGAGGGAGAAAGAGAGGGAGAGAAACACCAATATGTGGTTGCTTCTCACGCACCCACTACGAGGAACTTGGCCTGCAACCCAGGCACGTGCCCTGGCTGGGAATTGTACCAGCGACCCTTTGGTTTGCAGGGTGGCCCCCATTCCACGGAGTCACACCAGCCAAGGCAAAGAAGATATTTTAATGGCAGGCATTCATGTGGGTCCATTTGCACAATTTTGTGTTGGTTATATCCTAACCAAAGCTGTAAATATTTTTCTCCTAAGTACATGAGAGTAAGTGGTGTACATCATAACAGGGATGAGGAAGTCAGGAAATAGGGTGCCCATTTAATTTAACATTAAATTAACAAAATAGTTGTGAAGCTACTTTGATTTGCCTGAGTTTATGGGAACTTTTTAGCAAGGGCTCATTTTTTCATCAGGTTTTTAATGGAGAAGTTATGTCATCATTATTATGCATAAGTTTTAGAATTTTTAAAAATTGTGTCCTTAAAGTGGTTGCAGTAGTTAAAGTGATTTATGATACATAAATGATTAAGTGGGGTTTCTTAAAGAACTTCAAATTGTCAAATCCTTTCTAAAAAAAAAATAAGCCCCTCCATTTATAGTGGGAGTTTTTATTTTTAAGGGATTTCTCATTGAGAAAAGATGAAGTAGTACAGGAATTACGTATACTAGTAAATTTCTTAGAGTGACTTTAAAGCAACTCTTAAGCATATTGGAATACTTTTCAAACTAAATGATATTTAATTTGCTTTCTTATCAGTTACTGACTAAAATTATTTTGCTTAATTAGAAGGGGTGACCTTGTTGGAAAGGCTGGGGAAAAAAAAAGGAAGATGATTTGCCTTTTCTTTCTCATCTTCTGGGACCCAGTTTCCTTGGGAATTCTAGGTCCTCTGAATGGTGGTCACTTTTATATTTTCACTTACCAAATATTTTTCTGGGAAACAACCACCTTCAACAGACCAGAAATCTACAGAAGTAAAAGTCTTATATTCAAAGTAATCTGGCCAGAAAGAATCTCTTTTTCCCCTTTGAATGCCTGGTATGCACAAATAATATTAGCTTGCTGACATTTACACATTTGCATTAATACATCTTAAGACTGACATACCCTAGAGGTGATGTAGGGCTGACAGCATTACATGGTGCCACACTCAACATTTGAAGCATGTGATTATGTGCCTGGGACAAATGTTAACTCCCCAGGAGAAATACCACAGAGCCAGTGTGAAATGTTCGGCTTACCTGTGGACAGGTAGGCAGTTGCAGCTTGCATCCCACTTTAGAAGTATGTTGGCAAATACATACACGTTATTTAATCAAATAATAATTGAGAAATCTATAGT